TTTTTATAAATATTAGAAGATATTCGCGAGTTGTTGAAATTAACATTCAAAATTAACGCTCGATATTTATATTCGAATAAAATTATCATAAATCTTGATAATCTTTATTTTAATACATTTTTAACAAAAGAAAGAGTATGCTTAAAATATGTCGTCAGTTATGATTTTTATCATCCTCCCCTTGTTTCGACTCGTTGAAGCGAAAAATTTATTCCATCAAACGACCAGACTTTCCCAGACGCGTCACAATCACCGTGTCCAAACGCAAACAAAGAAGGGGACACAAAAGAAGAGGGAATATTCTCTTTGCAAGAAGAAAACCCCTCGTTTTCGAAACCTTCCACGTCCATTTGCATCGAGCCGTGGTGAATCAAGATAATCAAGAAATTTAATCAACCCCTCCATTTCCTCCTCCTCCCTCCCAACATTTCCTGCCCCCCTCCTCCTCCCATCTCTCTTCCAACGATGTTCTCTGGCGCAATGCGTAATATAGGGTCTCGTTTCTCGAGAAAAGACGTGTCCGAAGAAAATTAAGATTTAACCCGTCGATTAGGCGTGTCGACGAGAAGATTCTCCCCCTTCCTCCTCTTCCTTTTCCTTCTCTTCGATCCTCTGGGACTCGTATTCACGGGAATAGAACAGGTTCGTCCTTTGGATAGGTTCCAAATATTAGTTTAAAATCTCTTTCTCCAATATTTTTCAATATTTGTAATAAATTGTTTGCGATGGTGTTAATTGAAATTTTGTGATTTTTTTTTCTTTAAATTTTAAGATTCCTGGAAAATGATAGGTGTTAAATAGTAATTTAAAATTTCTTTCAATATTTTTCAATATTTAAAATAAATGTTTCTTAATTTTGTGATTTTTTTTTTTAATTTTAAGATTCCTAAGAAATGATGATAGTTTTAAAAAGTACGATTATGATTTTTTTGAAATTTTAATATTTTGACAGGCATATAAGTAGTTTATACCAATAAATTCCGAGCCAATTCTTTCTTTCCAAATTTTCTATGTCTGTTACAGGATCCATGGAATACTGATAAATTTTCACAATGACAATTCCCAACTATTATTATTGTACAACGAATAAAGAAAATAGAAGAAGAATAACTTAATATTAAAAAATAAATATTAAATTATGAATTCAGAAATAATCAAATCTTGGTATCCCAATCCTGCATAAAAATATCAACATGGATAATTTGGAAATATAAATATGGTCCATCACACCTCATACATTAGATTTAATTCATCTTAACGACGTTCTTGATAGAATTCGATGATGAATTGGAAGAAAACGCAAAGGAGAAATGGGAAGAGCAACGAGCGCTAATTATAAAAGGGTCAAGTGCTCGTATTTTTTTTTTTTTTTTTTTACTAAGCTG